CATCCCAATTGTGCAGAGATTGAACCATGCTCCCCATGCTCCCCATTCCAGTGGCAGCAGAATCCAGCACTTTACTAGTAAATAATTCATTAAGAATGCTGAATACCTCAGTAAGATGTTCTTTCTGCAACTGGAGGAAACATCTTAAGATTCACCATTTTTGAGTGCAGTTGTCATCCTGCTACATATGTAGGACCTTGCTGCAACTCCAGTAGCCAAAATCCTCAGACGCTCTCTCAAATGCTCCTGGTGGGTGTGAGCAGGACTCCTGAGGTTACAGCTCTGGATCCTACACCCCTGCACAGGGTGGCAAACCTTTCTGCTCCAGGCTCTGCTCCATGCTAAATCTGGGCACAGAGGGGATGCAAGAAGATGAAGCTTTTTGGTTTAATTAAAAAGAACAGTAGGGATGGACTGGATAAAAGGAARAGAAGAGGCAGATTTGGCCGTGAGCATTAGGAGCCTGTCCAGGAATGGACTGGTGGCTTCTGACCAACAGAGATGCAAGTTTCCGAGAGACTTGGAAGAGACTTGGGCACATGGTTAAAGCAGTAGAAATGGTGTTCTTGGAAACAGTGTATCATACACTGTGCTACAATGTGCTTAATGTGGTAGAGGGTAATTTCTGATAATTAGCTATTTTTCATTTTCTTCATAACTGATTTGGGATTCTGGACAGACATTTTGCATTCACCAGTGCTGCTGAAATCAGTGGGGGGTTGTGCTCTGCATGCACAAAGTGCAATATGATGCMAAGTATTCCAAAAACATYATGCCCTGGGCAATTTAACTTGGGYATCCAGGSTAAAAATGGGTATTTTTTCATTCTATCCCATCTCTCTTGCAGACCAGCAGGTTCTTTTAAAACGTTAATACAACCATTGGTGCATAAGCTGCATTCAGATGCCATCTTGGTGGGTGCGAAGGGAGGATCCGTGTGCTGATAAAATGAGACACAACATGTACAGGTGGAGATTATCTTTAATTTTCAATTTTGTGTGTGTTTGCCTGCTGCAGCTGAAGGTTTTCCTATCTTTTGAATTTTGAAGGTGTTGCACAAGGCACTGAACAGCTGTTCATTGCAGGAGATCTGCATAGCGCCAGAACAGAAGTTCTGTGGGAAAATGAGCTGCATTTAGAGAATACGTCATCYGGCATGTCAATGAAGGAACTCAGTTAGGGTGAAAGGTGAAATTAATGCTGGCATCTCCAAAACTTTGAATGGTTGGCCCTACAGCTTCTGTGGTTTAGAGTGTTTTGAGTTTTTTGATTCAAAAGTGAATTGTTATCTGTATTGACAATACTGACAAGCCTAAGAAAATTAACTTGCAAGTTCTAGGAATTAATGAATGTAAATTCTCAGTTTTTAAAAACATTCCTAGTGTTTTATTCATTTTCTCTGCATAGAATTATGCAGAGACCTTGAAATGRAACAAAGACAGGTATTTTGCAGCTTGTGCTATTCTGAATAGCACTCAAGGGAAAAAAAAAACAAAAAACCCCTTGAAACCTTTCTAACCCTTCTTGATGTTGGATCAGGTTTTCAGCTTCCAGCTTTCAATCACTGCTTCTTTGACAGAGTCATTGAATGGTTTGGGTTGAAAGGGACCTYAGAGTTCAACTCCCCAGTCCAACCCCTTGCCATGAGCGGGGACACCTTCCACTAAAATCAGATTGCTCAGAGTTCCATCCAACCTGGCCTTTAACAGTTCCAGGCATGGGGCATCAGCAGCTTCCCTGGGCAACCTGTTCTAGTGCCTCACCCCCCTCACAGTCAAGAATTTCTTCCTGACATCTAACCTAAGCAGTTTAAAGCCATTGTCCCTTGTCCTATCACTACAAGCCTTTGTCAAAAGTCTGTCTCAATGTTTCTTATATGCCCTTTTTAGTTTTGGACAGTTCTCTAATGTCTCCYTGGAGCTTTCTCTTCTTCAGTCTGAACARTACCAACTGTCTCARCTTGTCTTYATKGGAGAGGTGCTCCAGAGCTCTGACYATGATTATGTTCTCYTTTGGACTTKCTCCARCATGTCCACATCCTTCTCATGTAGGGGGCCCCAGRGCCAGACACAGCACTCCAGGTGGGGTCTCACAAGAGCAGAGTAGAGGGACACACCCAGTATCAGTATGAAAATCTTATCAGACATTGTGGTGCTCAGCAGGAAAATTCTACTGCTGTATTCCACTACATGGTGGTTTTTTTTTTTTGACAGAGGAGTCTCTGTTGTAGCCAAAAGTGGCAAGGACCACCTCCTTAGCTGAAATAAACGGAGGTTCTTTTCTTCACATATGCTTTGCTTTCCCTGCCMTATACAGCAGCAAGACAARTCAGAGGMTGTCTCATCCAAAGRAAAGCAACAAACAGTTCRAGCATTGTACCTGCATCCATCARAGGAAGTTTCAGAGAGCACAAAACTCAGAGTGCACAGCACAGTCAAAGCCTCTTGTTCTCTCTCATAAAAGGAAGACAATTCTTTGAAGCATGCTGAAATCATGCAAGGAAATGATGACAAATTTCTCCTGCACAGAAGAAAGTAACCTCAGCTTTGGTTGGTATTGTTTCTGACTGCAGGGCAGCCCCGCTCTTCTCCTGTCAGTGTGGGATGAATTTCTCCTCTCAGCTGGTGGAGATGAGAGGGCAGCTGCTTAAAATKCAGCAATGTCCTGTAATTTCAGGAATATTAATGCCATTGTCTCTCTGGCATTTTCAAAGGGTATCACACACCATCTCTAAGTTTTCTTTGTTTACTTCCGCCTTTCTTATAGGAAAAGTGTTGTGAGATGCCAGAGACTTTAAAACTACAGTTTTCTGAGAAGCATAAAGCTCTAATTTCTTTAATTAATATATTAACTAGCCACTACTAGTGGATACAAACATGACTTTCATCTCTGGAGCTGAAAGCTCTTAACAAAGGCTGATACCATAGCCTGTGTTTTGATACCACAAAGGGAGAGCATTTACTGACCTCCATTATCCTGAGGTCACTTGGTTTCTTAAGCCTGGAGAAGGGGAGACCTCACTGGGGTCTACAGCTTCCTTGTGAGGGGAAGAGGAGGGGCAGGCACTGATTTCTTCTTTCTGGTGACCAGTGACAGGACTCAAAGCAATGGGTCTGGAGCTGAGTCCAGGGAGGTTTACAGAATCACAGAAATGGTTGGAAATGACCTTTGAGATCATCAAGTCCATCCTCTGACCTAAATATTACCTTATCAGCTAAACTATGGCACTGAGTGCCTCATGAGGATATCAGGAAGGTTTAGACTGGATATCAGGAAGGTTTAGGCTGGATATCAGGAAAAGGTTCTTCACCCAGAGGATGGTTGGGCGCTGGCACAGGGTCCCCAGGGAATTGATCACAGCACCAATCCTGACAGAGTTCAAGAAGCATTTGGAAATGCTCTCAAGCATGGGATGTGATTCTTGGAGTGTTCTGTACAGGGCCAGAATGATCCTGATGGGTCCCTTCCAATTCAGGATATCTTATGAATATTCTATTATGCATATTGAATGTGAGAATTCAAGATGCATTTTTTATGCAGTTTGGGTAGACCACAATTAAAAGAGTCTGTCTGTGAGTGGCATAAAAGTCATTAATGRATTGCTCTACAAGGACATCATCACTGCCAGCTACAGACTCGTCTGCTAGTTTTGAGTTTCAGGCTACATTCATGCAGTGAAGTCACTGAGTGGGGAGCTTTTGCTGGGCTCAGCAACAGCTGGATGAAGCTGTGCAGGTCTTGGGTGTGAACAGGTACCTTTGCACAGCCCTGAGCCATGATCCATGTGTGCACTCAGCTGCTCCAAGAGCTTCAAGGATGTCACAGCCCACGACACAGACTGGCCTAAAAACTGCATGTGGACACACAGAGAGAACTTTGGAACAGCAGTTTCCCAGGAGACTGGGAATAGCTGTTATTCACATCTGCCTTATTCATAAACCCCTGAGTGCTGGTGAGAGAGCGTGGCCAGCTCCCTGCTGATGCAGTCTGCCAGCCTGGTGTAGAAGCCATGGGTT